AAAATTTGTATAACATGCAGTATTTGGGCTGTAAACGAATTCCAACATTATAGCACTATTTTTTAGGGTGTTCAGCGGTTCCAAGATCAATTTAGTCTAGTTCTCTACAGCCATGACGACTTTATAGACACAAAATTTCAGAATGGCAATGTGGGGTTATTTGGCCGGGACTAGCGGGGCAACTTGGCCGGTGCGCTCAGAGTCACTATGCTGGGACGGCCGAGTTGTCATGGTCAATTATACCATACGGACATAATTCATGACCAACTTTGACTACCTTGATGCCATATTTCCTATTGGACAGCTGTAAAGGCATGTGACGTCATCAAAGGTTACCTAACGCTTTTTTGCTAATAAATACTTACAGAAAAAAAAAAGATACAGCCGCGCAAATGGTATTATTATGTTCAGCTCGTCAAGGCGCATCGAATGATATACATGATGACCTTGAACTCACGTAACCTTGAGGTCAAGCGACCTGAGGTAACGTGACCTGAAGCCAACCTTTGACCTTGACCTCTCGAGGTCAACACATACATGTTTCGATGCGGAATGACGAGAGAATTACGATGGCGCTTTTAGTTTTGGCCTAGCTTGATTACTTCAAAAGCTATTCGTAAAAACTGTCATCACATCTAGAGCCGTTATTTTGACTATTTTCGACCCCTGTGACGACTGAGTCAACCTCCAAAATGCTTCAAATGCGTCGTAGGACTCGCGTCATTGCTGAATGTGAAGCTGACTCGCCTATAACAAAAATTATGGCCTCAAACTAACACCGGCCAAATTGCCCCACACCCCCGGCCAAATAACCCTGCTAGTGGGGCAATTTGGCCGCTTTGCAGACCTTTGTGATACGTCACAATTTCAATATAAGTAGTTACTCTATCATTTTCAGTTTACTGTCCAAGAAAGTAAAATGTATGCCACACCTGTCAGCGTTGAGAAAATGCAGAAATGTGTTGTCGATTTTTAGTTACATCGTTTTCTAAAAAAAGCGGCCAAATTACCCCACTCTCCCCTACTGAAAGTTTGGTGACGATCGGCGCAGCGGTTCTGGAGATATATCGAAAAGTCCGGAGGGGGGGGGCAAAAAATAGCCCCCCCCACGCGCGGGTTAACGCTCCCTATGCTATTTCTCATTCCACCTGTGCCGCTAAATTTCGAGCAGGAGATCGATGGAGATCATTTCAGGACGGTGGTTATGCGTAATTTATGGTCAAACAGTGTCCTTTTTCGTTTCCTTGCGAATCTGTCATTGAAGACAACAAACACAATCAAAATTGATCTTTAAGCATTTCGACATCAGCGACCCTCGCAAGTACAGCCCTCAGCAGAGCGTGGTAGGTTTTCTTTTTTCAACAAAACCTAATAACTCAAAGCTATGCTATCAGTCGGTCGGAACTCACTGTAAATAGATGCGCCATGCTCCACTCCTTCGATTAGGTCTTATCACTAAACAAAGTATACGCCTTGTGTGGCAACAAAATGCAAAAGTTTGCTTTGTGGGCAAATATAAACTGTTGAGTTTTGTTGCCGACCTAGATGGAAAATGAGTACGGTGATGATGCCAATCTAAGGTAAGGAGTTTAGCGCGTCTTGCTGTTACGATTTCCGAATGACTAAAAGCATAGTATTCGCGTTATTCTCGTTTTTGTCGAAAAAAGAATACCTACCACGCAGTTTGCAGTGGGCTGCACTTGCTTAACTCGCGCCCGGCTGGGGGTCCTGGATTTCCACGCCCTGCTGGGGGGTGGGGTGTTTGAACACCCCCCCCCCTTCTAACTTGGCTCCTGGGCCACGTAGCGATACGCGGAAGGCGGCGTTCGAAAGAGTGTCAAAAATAATGACGAAATAATTTTGCCCAATTTTTTGGTCAGGTCAAAGGTCAGGTCACCAGAGGTCATTGGAGGCAAAATTTCGCCGATTTCCAGGTCGAATATCGACAATTTCCAAGAGGCCAACGCATAACTCGGGAACCAATAGAGCTACAGCGCCACGGAAAAGCGCATTCGATAGCCCTATTAACACCCTTTCTGAATAATTCTCTCAGATTTGACCTAACGTCAACGGTTTTGCCTGCAGGGGACAAAAACTGCAAAAATAGCCGATTTTTTGGAGTTTTTCTGCAATAACTTTTGACCCAAGCCTTGTACGAGCTTACTTTTACCGGCATCGTGTTCCCCTTGTAAAGACGCATCGAATGAACTATAACTTGACCTTGAAAGGTCAACTTGAAAATTTGACCTCAGGTCAAGGTCATGACGTGACTGGAAAGGGTCATGTTGCATATCAGTCGATCCGTATCGTCAAGCTGAGCACATCTAAGGCGTTTTCATCGCTCTAGCATGCCTCTATCAAAAGTTATTTGCGAAAAACTGTTAAATACCATTCGTGACCTAAGATGACCTCGGGGGCATAAACAGGGGTCACGGACACCATTTTCATGTTCAGTGTGTATAAACCACTTGTAATTCAGTGTTTAGGAGTGTTTATAATGTCTTTCGTCCAAAAGAGGCGCATTTCAATTTTCTCCCATCGACTTATAATGGGGAGGTCGCAAAATTGACCTGACCTTAGGTCATCGATATCAAAATTCGGAGATATACGTTTTGTACATGCTATTGCTCTTAGCAATCGCTGAAAGTTTCAAAGCGATCGGTCTCTCGGTGTAGCTATGGCAGACATTGAAACTGTTTGTGAGGTGAGGTCACTTCAAGTGACCTGGTGACCTGACCTTGAATGACCTTGGTCTGAAATTTTGACAACATGTGTAGAATTGATGTATGATAAGGTGTACCAAAAACAGCAGCGCTCCTCGCCGCCGTTTTTGCGATATTTGCGAAAAAACACAAGGTGGGGGGGTGTTTAAATACCCCCACAGCAGGGCGCGGGTTAAGGTCACAAATACAGTGGAATCTGCTTAATAAGTCCTCGGATAATAAATCCAGCCGCTTATTGTGGCCACTTCAGCTGTTCACAGATTTTTCCAAAGAAACACAACTGACTCCGGTTGATAAATAAAACCACCGCGTAACCCGGCAGTTGCTGGGGTATTTCGCCACCCGCCGTTTGCTGGCGGGGGGGGGGGGGCATTAAGCTCCCCCAGCCGATAACTCGAGAACCAATAGGCGCAGCGAAACGCATGAGGCGGCAAACGAAAGAAAGCGACGAGACGCTTCAGATGAGTACTTTAAAGTTGAATTTTGAGGTCACAGGTCGGGTCAAGGTCAGGTCAACCACTGAAATCGGGCTTTCAGTAGCGTGGACTTTGCAGGCAATTGGCGTCTTTCGTCATAAACTCTGTGAAAACGGTGCACAATCCTTCATATAAGGCCTACAAGAGTGTCAGCTCCATGTAGGGGTCAGTCAGGCATAGGTCAGGGTCAAGGTCAGGTCAACCGGGTAGGCACATATCCCCGAAAATCAAAACTGATATTCGCAGCCTGTGACACATGTTTTTTTTTTTTTGGGCGTAGAACACGATGGTGACATTCATTTTATCATATGTGTACGTGTTTGGTTCACAAAGTTCAATTTACGAAATGCATGCATCATGGTCGTGAAGTAGTCACGAGAAATTGGCAAGATTCAGTTCAAGATTTTGGAAAATGCGGAACGATAATCAACCAGTATAACGCCTTTTGGGGTGACTAACGGAGCGAGCGAGAGGGTGGGCCTTGCACGTGCGAAATTGCGAGGGGGTACCTCCAACTGACTTGTGCACGGCACCCTACTAACCGATCTCTAGCGATGTGCCAAATTTGGGCACAATCGGCCCAGCCGTTCTCGAGATCTGGAAGCGGCATCCTGCACGTGCGCACGTGCAAAATGGGTCCCAACTGACTTGTGCACGGCACCCTACTAACCGGTCCCTAACTGTGTACCAAATTTAAGTCTCCAGCTACTATGAAAAAACTGTGTACCAAATTTGAGCGCAATCGGTCGAGCCGTTCTCGAGATCTGGAAACGACCCCTGCACGTGCGCACGTGCAGCAGCGCCCCAACTCTGGCACATGGATATGCAGTGCCTAGTGGGTGCCTACCTACATGCCAACTTTCAGCTCAATCGGCCAAGTAGTTACCGAGATATTGCAACAATTACAAAACTGACACCTCTTCGTTTTGCACGTGGCACGTGCATAAGGGGTCACCCACATGCATCGGGAATAGTCCAATACTTGGTAGAAGGAATGATGCTACCCTACAAAAATTACCGCATGCAAATCGGTCAAGTGGTTGCTGAGATATAAGCCTCGCAAAAGCGTCCGCACGGCCGGCCGGCCGGCCGCTCATACTCAGAAATTTCCGTTAATCTAAGGAAAGACTCCGCTCGCTTCGCTCGCTCCGTAGTAATTGAAGATAGCCATTTGATTGGTCATGGTATTGGCAGTCTAATTGCGTTTACGGAATGTCTGTATGTCTATTCTGTGATTTTATATGATTTTTTGAACATATGCCTTTTTTGGTCGAAAACTCAGAAAACATGACGTCACTAAAACCACGATATCTAAAAAAAATTCAAACGATTTTTTAAAACTTTTTCACAATAAACTTCAATCAATTCCCTACGGTACCCAAATAGCGCGCCGTTTTTATGCTATGGCGCGGCGAAAAAAGTGGGGGCGTTTAACGCTCCCTCCCCCCCCCCCCCCCCCAGCAACTCACGGGTTAATACAGTAGCATCCGGTTAACGAATCCACCTTAATGACACGGTGTTTTAGATTTATTAAGCGGTGGCTTTATTAACCGGAGTCAGTTGTGCTTCTATGGAAAATCCGTGAGCAGCTCAAGTGGCCACAATAAGCGGCTAGATTTATTATTCGAGGGCCTACTAAGCTAAGCGGAATCGACTCTAATTTCAAAACGACGTGTCACCAAGGTGGATTTATTAACCGGATTCTACTGTAGAGGCCAAAGGGCATGCAATGGTGTTTCCAGTTGGAATACCCAAAGCTAAACAAATTTAAACTGAAAATAAGGGAAAGTGACATGCTTACTTCTTCGAATGTGGAGTACGCTGGTAGTGTCCAGTGGAATTCGGTATGGCTGAATTAATGTTGCGCCGGGAATGTCGCTGAATGTACGGTTGACGTGCACGGACACCAGCAGATAGGCCCATTCCAGTCTGAAACATAAACACAGAGTATAATTGTAATAGGAGTTAATAATAGCTTTTTGCTCACAACTAAAGTAAGCCAAAAACAAAAATCCTGGATTTGCTTTTGGCTTATTCTTGTTATGAGCAAAATGTTATTATTAACTCTTATTATAATTATAATTATGATCATGTTCAAAAAACGTTTCAAATCATTCAAAGTGCTGACAGGACGCTTTTAATCGTTCTCGTTTTGGTGTGGGAATGTTAGGACACCCATTCAGCCGGAATGTTACATCAATAGCAGAATAAGTCCGTTTTTACTTTGCTAGTAAAGTGATAATGCCCCGGCAGGATCCGTTAAGCAAGACTGGGGTACAGAAGACCGAAAACAAATCGCAGGATTGATAAGTGCAACGGAACTTCTGGACAACATGTCATTCACTCTGAATCTCGAGCTTTATTTTAACCCTCGCCCGCATGGGGGGGGGGTGGTTGCCACCCCCCAGGTAGTCTTTCTGCTCTACACTCCACATTTTTAGAGCTAGAAGGCTGATTTTTCGTATAGCTGCTCCTCTATTCTTTCTTGATGTCCACTGAAAATTTCAAGTTTCTGTGATTTTTGGTTTCGGAGATATGACCTTGTTTTTCAGGTCATGTCATAACCCAAATGGCCAATTCTCAACATCTTGCGTTTGCCATGGGCCTTGTGAGCTTTTGACACCTTGATTTCGGCCTTTTTGCTAGTCTCACCTCCCATCTATCATGGAACATGTTGTTCGACGATGTACAGGTGTCAAGGTCAGGGTCAAGGTCAACCTAGGTCATCTAAGATAATTGCGTTTTAGGCAAGCTGAATTTACTTTTTGTGAAGTTTTTTGACTGCATTTTGGGTAAAAGCTTCTCCGATCATGATTTCATGTAATATGGACACAAAAACAATCGGTGTACACATCAGTATACACACAGACACACACAGACATACAAACACATATAATTGACCTTGACCTAACTTGACCTGAAATGACCTCAGCAGCAAAAATCTGGTCGGGTAGTGTGACAAAGAGGTTCTAGCTGGCTTGGCACCAGAAACAGCATCGTCATCGGTATATGATAAGCAACGCACTTGATATCCAACGGTGACCCAAAACAGCAACATTTTTTAGTTTGACCTGACCTGGAAGGTCAATGACTGACCTGATAAGGTAAAACTGGATATCGCAAGTAAATGGCGAAGTACTTGTATGAACAGCATTATGACATATATATGTTTTCAAATATAACCTTTTGTTCAGTGATTGGGAAATGCAAAAGGTTCCAAAATTAATTACAAAATGAATATATTTCGGACACTGTCCTTCTTCAGTTCAGAATTGCAAATTAAATCGATTTAATTTGCAATTCTGAACTGAAGAAGGACATTGTCCGAAATATATTCATTTTGTAATTAATTTTGGAACCTTTTGCATTTCGCAATCACTGAACATAAGGTTATATTTGAAAACATAAAACTGGGTATCATTGGATTCGTCTCTTCCCAAAGAATCTTTTTGGTCTTTACCGCTAAGCTCTATCTCCAACAGGAACGAAATGGCGCGGGGGGGGGGGTGTTCCAGCAATCTTACATTTACTTTTAGCAATCTTATATTTACTTTACATTTATCAATCTTCCAGCAATCTTACATTTACCAAATACAATCATCCATTAGTTGAGCACCGACTTTCCGGGCCCGCAACTGACGGGTATACTCTTACCTGTTAAAAGTCATCTGAAGTTGGAACCGTTGGTTCAGTTTCTTTCCATCTTCGCTGTTTGCCATGGTGTAGCTGATACATTTCATTCCAAAACGTGTTCTTAGTGCATTGTTGACTAAGATTTTCTGGGCAGGCTTATTCAGATTAACGTTGTCGACAGAAGTAAAGTCATTTACAAGAAATTCTTCAATATCTCGGGATGTTTCTGTCAGATATTGTGCAAGTGTTGAATTGTCTTGTATTAAAATATCAATATTTCTGTAAATTCCATCGTAAGAATCCACACCACCTTCTGCAGTAAGACCAAGAGTGTATAATAGGTCGATGTTTCTAAGCCAGGTATATATTTCTAGCAGATCATAAGGAAAGTCGGTAGAGATGACATCTTCTGCAAAGCTGATGCACTCCGGGTACCTTTGCAGGAGGTGTGCCTTTTTCGCGATAGTGTCGTCTCTGTGCGCGTACTTGTTGTCATGCAAACAGTCCATCGCTGTGTGAAATGTTTTTGCAAATTGATTTATGTTGTACTGCTTCGACAATGCTCTTAAGTTATTGGCCCTTTTTGTGTGAATCTTGTAGTCCATTAAGTGTATAGGGTCAAATGGACCAACTGGACAGACTGTTATTTGCAAGTTTTCGTTGTCCACTGAGCTGGTTGCCTTGAATTCCTGTAACAGAGTGACATCAGTTAGCATAGAGGCTAATATAACTTTAGAACAAAAATGTTAGGGGATGAATTATTAAAGGGACCCTCCCGCCTTCAAAAAGTTAATGAATTGGCATAAAAGTGATGTACTGTGGTTCAGAAAGAGGGAAAATGAATATCTACCAAATTTCACTGAAAAATATTCACCGGTTTTTAGATATCATACTTTTATTTTTTGGCCTCCGCTGTTCCTATGACGTCATTTGGAAGCAACAATTTTTTTTCATTTTTCATTTTATTTTATTCAGGCCTCCCTCCAACGGGCTCTTGTATTGTCCCAATTATAGGAGGGCTCCATCTCCTCCCGGCCACTGTACCCCCCCCCCCCCCCCCAGGCTACGGCTGAAGTGGGAGCCTACCCCCTGGTATCTTATCACCTGGTATCAATTTGGTATCTTAAGAGTGCGACAGATGCTGCGCGCAAGACAGTGCATGGGTACCACCACATCAACAATTGTCTTTTACCTAGGTTTTAGTAAAGGCTTTGAGAATCGCTAGATCTGCGGTGATGTCACGAAGTCTATGGTGCGTTCAAATGCATTAGCCCCGAATCTGAAAACTGCTGTCTTTGAAATTAAATATCACCGAAGTAAAGCATTTCTCCATATTGTGAGTGCCCAAACCGGTAATTGCAAGCCTGGGACCCCAATTTGGCTATCTCAATTCAAAACTTATATTAACCCGGCGCCGCCTGGGCTATTTCCGTACCCACGACAGCCTGGGGGGTCGGATCCGACCCCCCCCCCCCCCCTGTTATCTCGAGAACCAATGTTCGCATCGAGCCCCACGAGGCGGCGTTCGAAGACCTTCCCAAAGCACTCTTAAGATTTTAAGATTGAGATCAACTTTCTGGTCAAGGTCAGGTCAAAGGTCAAATTCTGGGGTTTTGCATGATTAGGCTTACGGACAGCGGAATCGATAGCTGCTGCTCGAAACTCACCAAAATGACCTCAAAGACCTAGTGAAGGTACCATGTGCGACGTGCGTATAGGGGTCATACTAAGTACTGGTTAAGGTCAGGTCAGGTCACGAAAGGTCACGGTTTTCACTTTCTGCTACATGGGCGTGCGACACATGTTTTATGGCTTATTTTTCACGCCGAATCCGATGGTAATGGTTATATGTGACCCCAAGTCACTGCGCTGGTGATAAGTGTGCATTGAAAGCATAAAAAATCGTTTATACCATACATAACTAAACGAGGGCTAAGAAAAAGTCAATTTTTTCAACTGTTTATTTTTGACATAAAAATGCACTTTTCTTGACGAGCTTTGTCCCAGGAATCTAGTGGTGCCATTTGTTTTCACATGCGATGTTCAGAAGAGCCTCTAATTCACGAAAATGCTTATGACGTCACCATGCCCTATGCATGTTGGAGCTATTTTTTACAATTTGGGGGTCTAAAATCAAGATAGAAAGTTGAAATTGGGGCATCTAATGTTCTAATAGAGCTCTATAACATGTATTCCGTTTTTTTTTTGGAAATTCTCAAAATTTTGGATTTTATCAGCTGTTTTCCAAAAAATATAGTTTTTTTAATTTTTAGGGGTGAAAAACGCATTTTATGGAAAATCCGAGATAGCCATTTTAAAGAACTCGTTGAGCTGCGTCTATTTATGTCCTTTTGCTTTAAACCCTGATTTTTGGTGATTTTTTAAACATTACCACTTTTTGACTGAAAACGCCATGTAGTTAGGTACATTACTAAAATCGATATATCTCAAATTTGGGAAACTTTTCTTAAAAATTACACAGGAGACGTCAAATTGATGGGGGAGAAGGTATGCCAAGTTTCAAGTTGATAGCGTAAGCGGTTCATGAGTTATTCAAGAAAAACGGAGAGGGGGTGGGATCCGACCCCCCCCCCCCCCAGGCGGTCGCAGGTTAAGGTGGGTTGGTCACTTTAATGTAGGGGAGACATATGCATAAATCTGAATAGATGGATCTGGGACTTAATATCTGAGCCACGGATCTTGATCTAGGGTCCCTCGTGATCGTAGATCCAAGTAATCTATGATCTCGTCAAGGAACTTTAGAGAATCAGTTGGATTTATATATCCGAACATTATCTTTTTCAAGAGATCCATGCGGGGTCATAAATGCTCTTTCATGATTTTTGTCCAGACACAAATCTGATTTTTGCCTTTGGAGAACCTGTGTTGGCGTTCATTATAACCACAGTTCACAACTCAGTTCTGTGGTACGAACTGGCATGGACTTGTGTGGCATTATGGTTCCACGTGACGCGTTTTATGAGATCCTCATACACTATAGATCTTTCCTACATGCCGGGGTTTGTCTTAAGCACAGCACGAGCCGGGCCGTAAAACTATGACCAAGAAACTGTCGGTGTCAAAATGCCATGTTATTTGATAGGCCGGGCAGGAAACAAAAGTTTACTGCCCGGGTTTACTGCCCAGGGCAATGACCTCTAAACTACAGTTTATCGCACTATAAGCCCAGAGGTATAATTGACAGCGAATGTATAATTTACATCATTATTGCATGATATTTGCCGCGTAAAATTAGAAAACTAACATTTTTTGGTAAAAAATATCTGCTCTGCTTATCAAGGGTTTTGAAATATTTTGTATTGGTTACAAAGCCGAAATTATGGTAAGATATGCGCCTAAAATCTAAATCTGTTATCGCTTGTTGTCTTATCTTTGATATGTCCACTGATACCTTGGGCCTAAGTTATTGCGTTATTATTTGACAGTTGTAGTCCTTTCCTCGAAACAAACATGTAAAATATGGAAAATATAATGTATTTCACGAAAGTTTAGCCATGGGCATCAACAAAGTACGATTACATAAATAAAGAAAAGATTCTTGCAAGAGCACTGGAAAATTCACGTTTAATCACTAGGAATATTATACTTTCTTCTTGTTCTTATGTCGTGGTAAATTATTCATGCATTATGTTCCTTGGATATCCAGTTGTTGTGCCATTCTGAGTTGATATTTTCAGACGCGATTCTTTTTGAAGCAAGGTATTTTGATGCATTTTCTTCTATAAATTTCCTTTAAAGCTGTATCCACAGCAGTAGCGCAATCACTGTTAGGAAATTATGGACAAAACAATTGTATAAAAGTGTCACCAAAACCCAAACCAAAACCTGTCAAAACTACTTAGCATGTATGCGGCATGTAGGAAAAATCTTACTGACCTCAGTCGTACGAACTTATTTGGAAACTCGGCTTGCAAAATTTGACTCCGGCCCTCGTGCTTCGCACTCGGGCCTCCGTCAATTTTGCAAACCTCGTTTCCAAATAATTTCGTCGGCCCGGTCAGTTATATATATTCCCTGAGTTTATCGCCAAGTCCTATTAGACTGTAGATACAGGATATAATTTTCAAGCGGGCTCAGATGAGATCGGAGATCCTACCCCATGATTTGCCTTGAGATCCATTGAGATAATAGATTCAACATTCGGATAAATGATAATGCATATGTCTTTATGTATTTACAACCAGTATAACGCCTTTTGGGGCGACTAACGGAGCGAGCGAGAGGGTGGGCCTTGCACGTGCGAAATTGCGAGGGGGTACCTCCAACTGACTTGTGCACGGCACCCTACTAACTGGTCTCTAGCGATGTGCCAAATTTGGGCACAATCGGCCCAGCCGTTCTCGAGATCTGGAAGCGGCACCCTGCACGTGCGCACGTGCAAAATGGGTCCCAACTGACTTGCGCACGGCACCCTACTAACCGGTCCCTAACTGTGTACCAAATTTGAGCGCAATCGGTGGAGCCGTTCTCGAGATCTGGAAACGACCCCTGCACGTGCGCACGTGCAGCAGCGCCCCAACTCTGGGGTACATGGATATGCAGTGCCTAGTGGGTGCCTACGTACATGCCAACTTTCAGCGCAATCGGCCAAGTAGTTACCGAGATATTGCAACAATTACAAAACGGACACCTCTTCGTTTTGCACGTGGCACGTGCTTAGGGGTCACCCGCATGCATCGGGAATAGTCCAATACTTGGTAGAAGGAATGAAGCTACCCTACAAAAATTGCCGCGTGTAAATCGGTCAAGTGGTTGCTGAGATATAAGCCTCGCAAAAGCGTGACCAGACCACGGCCGGAGAAATTTCCGTTAATCTTAGGAAAGACTACGCTCGCTTCGCTCGCTCCGTAATCATGAGCGATCCACACATCGCGTGGCGTGGTTGATGAAGGATGTAAAGTCGGGAGGGGGGGGGGGTGTTCAGACGCCTTCCCCTGGCCTGGCGCTGGTTAAATTGTTTGATGCAAATGTCTCGGCCTTTCGTTCTAATGCTCGTAATCTGCACTAAGATATGAAGTTCGCCCATTACCGTTCAGAATCGCCGTGGCTATTAACCCACGAGCCGCTGGGGGGGGGGGGGAGGGGAGGGGGGCACTGGCGGATCCAGACCTGCGTTTTTTTGGGGGGGAACTCATGCCAGGAGCCAAACCTAAGGTACCCCAAAATCCTGTTTCCTCATTGGACTTAGGCCACTTATTTTTCGTCACAGCCCTGAAACGATATTTTTTAACAAAAAAAAAAAATTGAAATGGTAGTCCACCCGACCCGTGCCTTTATATTACTTTAAAAACATTCAAATTGCTTCTGTTGACCAGTTAGCCCACTCCGGGTCGGTGCTTGGCGCAGCCTTCGGGGGCCGGGAGGTGTCGGTTGGACACCCTGCCGTTCGGCCCCTGATCAAGCTAGAGCTTCGCGGAAAAAACAAGCGTGTCGCCCGTGAGTAGCGAGAGGAAGCCGATGGTACCCGATTTTAGGGTTCTTGGTTATTGGTTGACCTTCCAGTCTAGGTCACAGCAGTATCCCAAAATTTGTCGATTTGGGTGCGAACTGACATCCAAATGAAAATTATCTTGCACTCTCATCCCCATTTTTAAGAGCTATTTCCCACTTCCAATTTTACTGACATTTGCATTTGCGTCGATGGTCGTTTTACATCCTGCAATCTGTCACAATTGTACAGGGTGTCCCCAAAAAACTTTACCAAGGATAAATCTCCGACGCTGAAAGTAAGTTGGGCGCCACTTTTCCATCCCCGAATAACTGCCAAATCGCTACCAACTTAACAGTGGAAAGGAATTTCTTAACCCGCGCGGGGCTGGGGGGGGGGTAAATTTTACCCCCCTCGCGAATTTTTGCGATATCTCAAAAACGCGCCGCCAAACTTTCAGTACCTTTTCTTACATCAATTTGACACGTTCCCTGAAAATTTGAGCGAAATCCGTCGGAAAATTTTTGAGAAATTGACGTTTTAGTGACGTCATGTTCGCCATTTTCGCCTCAAAAACGGCAAAAGTTCAAACGCCGCTAACATCTTCATTTTTAAAGGAATCAAGACGTAACAAAAAAGGTTATACGTAATTTTACTTTGTCTATCAAATGGCTATCTCGGTTTTTTGAAAATTTTGGATTTTGGCCTAAATTTTTTCAAAAAACTGACTTTTTTGGGAAAATCATTATAAAATCCAAAATTTTGAGTCTATCGAAAAAACCGGAATATATGTCAGAGATGTGGTCTATGTGCACCTACATACCAAATTTTAGAAGAATCGGTTCAAAAATGTGGGAGTTATTCAAAATTTTATGACGTCACGACACACAATTTTTTTTGAAAAATGACTTTTTTGGAAGTTCTAGACCTCGTACGGAAACAAAAATAGCACCATTCGATTCGCCGTGAAAAACTGCATCAGATATACACCTTTTTAGGCCTTAACAACCAACTTCAAAATTTGACCTCACTTGACCTGACCTTGACCTGACCTCGACCTGAAATTCATCCAGAGGTGGTCCATATCACTTATTGAGTGTGCCTATTGAATTCTATGAGTAAAATGACCCATAAAACATGTGTAGCACATGCCCTTTTCTATATTTTGTTTTTTGGTGACCTGACCTGACCTGACCTTGACCTTGACCTCTGAATGATATTGTATGCAACGAATATTGTCTTGGTACCCTAAGAACACGTTTTGGGCGATCAGTCTCAGTCCATGACTCCATTCTTCGGCAACTACGGTGCAAGGCCGATACTGCATAGAAACTTGCAATTTGTACCCTTGACCTGACCTTGACCTCAAACTTTAAATTAAGTACATGTTTTTAGTAGTTCGTGATGAGAGCTTTCGATTGGCGTTTGAATTTTCCAAATCGGACCATTAGTTCGGGAGATAACAGGGGGGGGTAAAATTTACCCCCCAGCCCCGCGCGTTCGGCTGGAGACCCCAGCCCCGCGCGGGTTAAGGAACTTCACTAGCAAATGCTGGAACTTACCAGCAATCAATCATTTTAATGACCAACCCCGGTGCATTGGGGGGGGGGGCTAATTTATATGCCGCCCCTGTCGAGTTTCGAATGGGGGGCTTTAGCCCCTGCCGCCCCCTGGATCTGCCAGTGGGGGGGGGGGGCATAAAGTTGCCCCCCCCCCCCCCAGCGTAAAGGGACATAAAGCATCCCTTTACGTTGTGTGATATCTCCGAAACCGATAAGATATGAACAAGAAATTCGGTATAGCTTCAAATGAATACCTATGGCAACATTTGAGAAAAGTTTGGTGGTTGTAGCAAGATGATGTCACAATGACGTCATAAAGTGTTGTCGTTTGTTTCTAATGTCACTGAGCATGAAACGCGACGGTAAATGAGGTCACAGGTCAGGTCGAAGTAAAAATTATCGATGTTTGGCTTGTTCACATTTTGGGCTCTGGCTGCCGTCTTACAAGTCAGATCAGGCTGATTTTTGTTTACACACTCGTGAACAGATGTTTAAGATACCCTGAGGGTACCAACTTGTACTTTGATTTTCAGGTCAGGGTCAGGTCATCACAGGTCACGGATATCTTATATCATAAGTCGGTCACGTGACATATGTTTTATGGTCCATTTAGGCCATAGATTTCGAATTCGGTGTCGCCTGTGTCATTTGAGGCCATTTTCATGAATTTAGCTGATGTCAGGTCACTTTCAGGTCAAAAAAGGTCAAATTTTAAAAGTTGAAATTTCTCAACAAAAAACATGTCTATCGGATGCAGTTTGAGCTCAGGACCACGATGGTGCCATTTATATTGGTGTATGATTTTAAGTTTGTACTGAAAAATTGATTTGGAAAATTTAAAATTGTGAAATTTTTGCTATAATGCGTATAACTTGGCCATTTTTAAAGATATCTGGCTAAAACTTGCTTGAGTAGGTCATAAGCATGTGTTCTATCATAAATATTCCAGTTTTTTTCGAAAAGTCAAAAACTTTTTGAAAAAAGATAAAAATACACATTTTGAATTTTAATACATATAATTATCAAAATTTAGAAAATCCGAGATAGAAGTTTGATAGCGCAGTCCATTCTGAGTCTTCTCATGCAAAGAAATTGGATCTAGCTTAAAAACTGAGCTCTTGGGAGGGATTTCAGTGGTTCAATGTTTTGCGTCGAAATCGGCCGGACATGACGTCACTCTGACGTCATTTCTGGCCGACCTATGATAGATACGAAGTTTAAATTTTGACACAAGGTGTCAAATTGATGTAGCCGAAGGTACTGAAAGTTTGGCGCCGATACGTCAAGCGGTTTAGAAGTTATTGCAGAAAAACGGGAGGGGGGCTGTGAATAGCCCTTCCCCCAGTGGGGCGCGGGTTAAACTACATACTTCCTTACCAGTTTTCGGTCCTATATAAATATATTTGGTCCAATATATCGCATATATCGTGGGGAAACTAAGAAACTCCAATCCATGGTTCGACTTCTGACGTCACTGTGACGTCATTTAAAATGGAATCGACACCAAATTAGGAAACAACTTTGGCTAGCTATTCAGGAACATGTGTGCGAAGTTTCGCTTGTCTATCTCTACGCGTTGCGACGATATCGTGGGATAAGTAAAGGCGGCAACTAGTTGCCCCCCCCCCCCCCCCAGCGGCTGGCGGGTGCAGTGGCGCGGAGGTCCAGCGGCTGCCGGGCTAATGCTCAATTCTTCACGACACGATTACCACCAGTAGAACGTCTTTGGGGGGGAGGGGGCGATAAACGAGCGAGCGCGAGGGTGAGTCCTGCACGTGCGCTAGTGAAGATGGACTGGGCCGGGTCGGGCCGGGCCTGGTTGGGCCTGGTACTTATGCTGATATTTTTACGTTAAACCATAAACTCGTATGAGCTCGCTCTTTCGATAAGTATAGTATGCCGAAAGTGCTTTAGTTACGTGTTGAGATGAAAAAAGATAAACTTGCCTGTAATATGACACCAGCATTGAGTCGGTTCGCTGACACCACCAGGAAGTAACAGCAGCCCACGAAGCAAGCCATGATTGCCATAGAACGTGGCGTCTTCTTGAGAATGTAGTTGCATAAACGTCTGCTGTTCGCTTTACCTGGAACTATAACAGTTATAGTAAGAGAAGTGTTTGCATTGCTTTGAGATAAGCTGAGCGGTCGAACATGAGTAGTTTTAGGGTGCTACTACCTATAGGACTATACCCAGTACTTATTGTGCTCATATATTGCTCATTAGGGCTCGGTGCCAAGGCCCAAAGGCCAGTTTATTGGACAGTTTTTCACTATGATCGGAAGGGAATGCAAGGGAATATTCATTGACTTACAATTGACCATTGAATTCACCTATTAGTGGGGTGCTCCCTGTTGGTGGTTATGCGGATAAATAAAATAAATAAATAAGTTGCTTGAGTTTAAAGTGTTTTATACTTAGACTGGAACGCCCGGCAACTATGTTTGAATTAAAAACTCTGTTTTGACCAAAACTTTGGTAACTGGTTCAGTGGTACCACGGAATATAAGTCTATGACATCTGCCGTAGACTCTATTCCGTGGTGGCACCAAGGGTGGTACCTTACAGATCTGGTCAATGACCTCCCAAATTTTAGTTTTTGTTTTCGCGAGTAACTTCCGAAAAATGATTAACAAAATAATGGTACGGGGACCCGCAGTTGCTACTGTACACGAACCCCAACTCTAGCCGTCTGTCCTGTCCAGTAACAACCGATTACATTGATATCGACTGCCGGTCCCTGTACAAGAGCAGCTGAGGTTTTCTGTGCGTGCCCTCTGGCAGCTTATCGTTGTTCCCTATGAGGGTGCTGGGACAATTTGCTCAGAGTCGCTGTGCAGTAGCAACTGCGGGTCCCCGTACCAACACGTCTTGTTTGTGCCTTAGCTTCGAATGATAAAATTTTCTCGTTTTTAAAGGTCAAGATCAAGGTTTACCTCGGCTAAGGTGACCGGTCGGATACGCTTGGATGATATTTACACATAATATGTAATGTATGACTGTACCGGTCCGTAGGTGCTGACTGTTGATATCGAATGTGATAATCCTGTTGCTCGAACAACTAAAAAATAAAGGATTATAACATACATGATTTTGAATGACGGTGACCTCGAGGCAACCTTTTAACGTAACTAGACATAAACTAGCATCATTTCTCGCATGCAATGCAGAAACATAACTGAAAATACGTTGGATGGCTGAAAGCGTTACCCAGGTCACAACTATCGAGTTAGGCACAAGATCTGGCATGAATGATGTATGTCAAAGGACCTGATCAGACAAGAAAGAGACAATATGTTGTTCAACGGATGGGTGCGAAGAAATGTCCTATCATTATCATTCTATCAATATCTTGTCTTGGAAATGTTACAAAAATCCCTAGGATGTTGTATCAACCTCGAGTCCGAGAGGTTCCACGCTTCCGCAACTTCGAGGTGAGATACTGGCGGCTGGGCTCTGATATGAGAGAAATGCTTTTTATTTACGTAAAACTCTTCGTAATTATGTTGCATACTAGATCGCCGTGTTATGCATATGCTAAATACCTGATTCTGATTGGCGAGCAGCAACGCCTAGACGAGGATGGGTAGGTAAAAAATTGCATAGCTTACGTATAAGATGGCAAGAATAAGCAACTGCATCAGTGTGTGACTATTTTAGTGGAATACAACTGACTGGTGATAATCTGTTTCATATCGTATTGTTATGGATTGCTCCCAAGATTGTACAGAACGCTGACGTATTATTATACCTACCTCCAATACCCTTTGATTAGCTACTGATTGGCAAACTGTTTTTCCTTGTTGCTTGTGACAGCATGGGATTAATAATGACTTAAAATGTTCAGGTCTGAAATTGATCATATTATTTGACTGTAAAAAGGTTTAGCTATAGCTGTCTCATGAATCAAGAAACCTTAACTTGACATTAAAGGGACTATCCCACCTTTAACATGGGGTTTGAGTTGAGATAGCCAAGTTTGCGGCGAGGTTCAGAAACCACTATCTATCTAGGTTGCAACCCCCGCGGCCTCTTGGTGTTGAAGAAATTCGTTCCCTTCATTTGAAAATGGGCCTTGTACATACAAGGCCCTATCTTCAACATGGAGCGACCGTTAGTGTGACGTCACCTCGTTTAGTCATTCTGATTTAAATGGGTTTGTTCGTTGAAAAATCGCTTAAAACTTGGTCTGAACTTTGTTGTGGTGCCTACAGAGTAAAAAGAATCAGCTTTATGACAGTAATGTGGCCTGGGGAAAGAGGTAATTTTGGGCTGTGACGTCACATATTTGAAAGTTTGTGTTTGGAATATGGGAAGCCTAAGATGTTTAATGAAAAATAAATGCCAGAACCGTGTTCCTGGTCATCCAATCTATAAAGTCGGGCATAATTTAACTGGTTTTAACAACATTTTAGAAGGTGGGATAGTCCCTTTAACATACAGCTAGCGGATTTGTGGTAAGGTTTTACAAATAAATTTATGATAACTTTATGGCGACACTTACCACTGTTTTCTGCGGTTTCGGCTGTTTCCAGCTCTTCAGGCTTGACAATATTTTTTACCGTCAAATCTGACATTGCACGGAAGCACACTTTTTGACCACAAACAAGTAATTTGATGTAATGTTATCATGAAGTCAAACGTTTCGCTGACACTTTACTTGGCTGTTTGGCTGTGCCGTGTCGTGGCTGTTTTGTTTCAGCTTACCACCAAAAAAATGTTAACCTCATTTTGCTTACT